ATGCCTTCCGATAAGTTAAGACATCTCGAAGTGGACGCCAATCAGGCCTTCGATCAGTACCGGGAGATGTACTTCGAGGGCGGCGTGTCTTCAGTGTATTTATGGGATTTGGATCACGGATTCGCTGGAGTCATACTCATCAAGAAGGCCGGCGACGGATCCAAGAAGATTAAGGGCTGTTGGGACTCCATTCATGTCGTCGAAGTGCAGGTACTGTTGCCATCGATGACTGCATTTGTCACACGAGATAACTGTTGTCCACCTCTGAAGGAGAAGTCCAGCGGACGCAACGCTCACTACAAACTCACGTCAACTGTGATGTTGTGGTTACAGACCAACAAAGACGGCTCCGGGACCATGAATTTGGGCGGAAGTCTTACGCGACAGATAGAGGCCGACAATACTGTCAATGAGACGAACCCACACATCGCTAACATCGGAAGAATGGTTGAGGTTTGCAGTGATTTGCTCTCATTGTGTGCTATTGTCTGAACTGATAGTATGTTTATTGGTTAGGATATGGAGAATAAGATCCGCAACACATTGAATGAGATTTACTTCGGCAAAACAAACAGTATATTAAACGGTTTGCGTTCAGTTCACAGTTTGGCTGACCAGAAGTCAAAGGACGCTCTCCGGACAGACTTAGCACAAGCCCTGCAAAAGATCAAGAAAACTGATTTGAATAACTGATGACCACTTTGTACAGCAAAACAGACTTTCAATCGTTTACTTATCTATTGATATAGTTTTATAATTTCAAACAATACACTGATTTCTAACTTCTTGTTCTAATTATGATTTTATTATTTAATTCCTTCATTGACTACATTATGGCTTTTATTATAACATTAAGTCATTTTAGGTGTTGTCTCTTTTCAGGACAAACTTATAAATGCTTTGATTTCTATTATAAATATTGTTAATAAATATATATTTTGTTAAAAGAAAATAATAGACAAAATTTCATTTATTGACTATTCGTTGAATAAAAACTTTATTGAAAACAATCAAAATATTTATTTGGAATATTCTCTATTGACTTTTGAAAGTTTAAGGTTTTGTTTTGATTAGATTGCAATCAAAATACAATATAATAAATGAAAGATTATTAAAAGTATGAATAAAATAACATTTTTAAAAAATTATTCATATATTTTATATCATGTTATCTAATGTTATCAATGTTTTTAACAAATGCTTCCAATGTGTTGTATTTAATAATCTTTTTGAGCAACTCTTCCAAAGTATTTCTAACCATTGGATCTTTACTTTTATATACAATAGAAGACATTTGTATTGTTTTATATAAGTATCTCAACCAATATATGTTTGTCTTTGGATTCCATTTTTTCCAGTCATCCATTGCCGCTCTAGTCATACACTTATACGCCCAGTCCTGAAGGTCTGTCCCCTTAGCATTCAATTTAGGATTCAGTCGATTTGATAGTGAAGTGAAATGAATATTATTTCCGATTTTGATTCGAGAAAATGTTGTGTCGATAATATAGGCTTTAATACCAAAACTTTGCACTCTATAGACCTCTGTTTTGATGACATATTTAATATTCTTCTTTTTGGTGGCCTTCAGGAGTACATTAGCGATGTGAAGATCCCGGTGCTCGAACTCATACACACTTTCGCATACAGTTAATGCCAAAGTTATCTGATAGCNCACTCTATAGACCTCTGTTTTGATGACATATTTAATATTCTTCTTTTTGGTGGCCTTCAGGAGTACATTAGCGATGTGAAGATCCCGGTGCTCGAACTCATACACACTTTCGCATACAGTTAATGCCAAAGTTATCTGATAGCAAATGCTCAGGAGTTGCTTAGGAGTGACTTTATTCATGTGAATCACTTTCCAAAGCGGTTCTCCACAGTATTTCATGGTTACGACCAAATAGAGTCGGGGAGCACCTGGAGATTCTCTGTTCTGATCAATCTTTTCCAGTTTAACCATTGAATCATTGGTGGCTTTGATGACCAAATAGTTAGGAATGAATCCCTGCACTAATCGCACGCTAAGCATACGGGGGAAGGAATGGCACTCAAACTC